CCAAGGAATTTTACTGCTGCGGTCCATTTAAATATGTTTGACGAAACGGGACCTGTGGTTACGCATGCTCACACACACACACGGCATTTAAGCGAAGCCGTCTCCCAGCTCGACTGAGCATTATGCTTTACGATTCGTATTTGCATTGCGCATCTATTCAGCTGCGCCTATGACCAAGTCACCCGAAATGCGCCCGATCCCGTCAGATCTTAGGAAGACAGGGGTAGAGTTGAGCAAAGACCCTGGTTGCATCGGCAGCTACCAAGCACAGCTGGTGTCGTAGGCTTCAGGGGCTATGCGTGGTGCAGCCGAGGACAGTGCATCTCAGGACAGTGCAGCCAAAGGCGCTGTTGCACTGCACTCCTATGCCTCCATATCCACGCTCCTCACCTTCAGCAACCCGCACTGACCAGCGTGGGGAAATACGGTCAATTAACCCCCACGATGCGCAGGGTGTGGGCGGGGGGAGGCACTTGTCCAGCAGCAGGGTGACAACAAAGGGCCATGCGTGTGCATTGCGCAAACGGAGCTCAATCTCGATATCCAGCGTTGGGGCTGTACCAGTGGGCCCCGCACCAGCTACGTAAATTCCACATTCCTCTGGCGTGCGCCGGTCTCTCCAAAGCATAACCGTGGCTGACCTCCGACAAAGTGGTAGAGGCGCTTAAAACCATACACACGAGATGATGAAACACAAACATGTGTGATTGCCGGTATTGTTAGGCTAGCTGCCAGTCTTGTTGCAGCCAATAGCTTGTGAAAGCTGTGCCAACTCACAGCACTCAAGATACATTTCAAAACATTACATTTGGTGTGTATTTGACGTAAAAATAAATAAATCACTAAAACACAAGGGACCACATCGTTGGCGCAAAGTTCAGAGAGTTGCAAGAGACGCTCTTTGTTCCAGTGGGCACCTTACTGTACCTGCAAGTTAAACAGATGGCACTAAATACACCATGGAACTGAAGAGCCTGGTTGTGAGACAGTGTATTATTTGTAAATCTATCGTGTATGATGAAGCCGTTGCCATGTAACCGCTGTTATTACAGGTGCCTTTCATTTGGGTTCACTTGCGATCACTGGCCCTATTCCTTTACGCACTCACGTATGAAGCCAGCACAATAAAGCAGCGATTCAATATTTAGCAGCAAGTTACGGAAAGGGCAGCGTCATCTGACGACGCTAAGCGAGACGTTTCAAAGATATCAAGCGGAGGCTCAGATTCACGACGCCTCAATTTCTCACGCCCGACCATCACCCGCAAGCCACGTGCAACCTTGAATGGTGCGAAAAGGTACACATGGTCATCCTCATTCAACTGCCCGCAAACACCTTAATCACTCCCATCATCGTGGAACTTGCCACGAACTCCACCATCACTGAACAACATCATCGTCATCATTAAGCATGCTACAACCACCTTCTGACAGAGAGAACCAGGGGCTCTCATCGAGACGAGTTTGAGTTCGTGCCCCGAGCTGGGTTATCCGTCCCAGTCGTAAAGTCATACTGCTGGAACGTCGTGTTTTCTATAACACAATGGAGAGAGAGAGTACGGGGCTGCTTTGTAAACGACCCTCAGGGAGAAGGCGATGGTGCCAACATTTGCGCTGTGTTGGCTAAACACCAGGAGTGGAAACGCAACACTTTCGACCGCGACGAGCGCCGGGAGATTTTGAGATGGATTTTGTAAATGTGGTCTTGAGCCAAATACCACGGCATGGAAACGCGTGCCTAAAGGTGTCAAATAATTACAGATCAATGGGGAATTGGTAAAACATGCCACTCAGAATCCCCTCCGATAAGAGGCTCGAGAGTGTGCGAGCGTTTTTCTGGATAATTACTGTCAATACGAATCAGCCTCTGATGTCTTTTCGGGTTGAGCAGCATGTTGTACAACCTGGACGCACATGGGAGAGCTGTAGAGGATAACCGCAGAAATCTACGCAGCGGCATCAATCAGCCTCACGAGCGGATGAAGCACTATTATTCCTTATTCCTTCATTGCCTAGCTTGACTGGCATCATTTTGTATTTGCGCTATGACATACAACGGAATAAAATATTTACGGCCCTTTGTTACTCCATTGGTACATGAAGGCCTACCCATGCCGTGCAGATTATGGGTGTCGTTTGCCCATACTTGATCACACTGATCAGTGCAGTGTAGAGGAGAGCCCAGGACCGGTTTGGAAATAATCAGTCGCCAAATGCCATTAGCCGTGGCCGGGAATCGTACTCGGGTTGCTGGGTTTATAACGTGAGAACTTCTGACTCCAGTTCTCTCTTTGTTGATGCCAATTTCCATTAGAGGCCTTAAGATATCTTCATAGCCGATGTGACTAAACAATAAGTGACAAACTTTAGGCTGAGGGCACCACTGCGTGACAGCGGTGTGGAGGAGTGCACTTGAAAAATGAGCGATGGATACACTGTAGTGAACAAATACTGTGAACGTGAAACACAGCACTGCAACCAATGGTAAGCACCAAGCCTTGCGAGTTGTGGGTTTTCTCCATCGAGTCCAGTTTTCTCGAACACGAAGCCAAAAACACTCATGAATGAAGCTAACCAAACATCCCAATGCAGTAGGACCCTGCTGAACAAGACTCGGCGACAAGACTTTCCTCTGCACATGTCGAGAAAGTTCACCGAACGAACATGTTTGAGGGACAGCATCACAAAAAGGTCCGATGGACAAGACTGGTGACAGATTGGAAGCCAAAGAAGAAGAAAAACATGCCTGAGAGGATTACAATTGCAGAGATGGAACAATGATATCTAGCTCATCTGCTGGAGGGGCTGATAGTGGTACTGTACTGTAGGCTAATGTTCATTGGCGAGGGCAGTGACTTGATCAGCGCCGATATCACGACGATGCGCTCATAACAGGGGCGGATTGATTAACGTTGGGCCCCCCGTGTCGAGCGTGGGCCACTGCCGGGGCCCACGTTGGCGTGGGACAATTACGAGCGAATGCTGCCCAGGAAATGCAGTCCCTGTGGGGCCTGACCGGGTGTGTGGGTGTGGGAAGCCCTTCCTGAAAACACGAGGGCTTTATTCTGGGCAGCGGCTCGGCTTTCGGACCACCTCGTCAAAGGACGACACCTCTGCAGACACCGCCACAATCACGTCTCTCAAGGCTGCTGCTATGCGTGGTCAGTGTTAAGCGAAGTTTACACGCAATAACGCATGTACAGACGAATACATGGACACGCCGAAATACGCTCGGCTCGCATTAACAAACAAACCACGCGCACACACAGATACCAACTCACACAACACAAACATGCACACACCACATAGAAGTGAACTTGCACAAAGACCAAAACTCCCACGTACAGCCTCAGACTTTTGAGGCAAGTGCTGTTAGCAAGCACCTATGCAGCCCGGCCGCCTTTGTCTCCCCAGTGGCGAGGTTTACATATCGTACCAGGTTGTCATTTAAGGCCAATTCGACCAAGGGGAGGCCAGGACGGGTTCGGATAATCGTCACAGATGTTGGCCGTGAGTGGGAATTGAACTCGGCTCACCAGGTTCGTAGCGCAGGGCGCTAACCACCACGCTACCGCTCCCCACACACACGCAACTCCCTCCTCCCGAGACACACACCAACCCAATCGGGTATTTCTGAATAGCTAGGCACTTGAGCCCTTGAGGTGTGAGCCATGCCAGTGGGCGCTATGTCAGGGCTCGTGCATACCTGGGAGTGCTGTTACAGTCCGCGTGGGCGTTAGGGCGCGTGCTGTTGCGAGGGTGTGAGTGTTGCTAAGGTATGCGGCCATGTTACTCTGCGCGTCGGTGTGTGCGCCGAGCGGCTGTGTGTGTGTGTGTGTTCTGTCGGGTTGTCACGATGGTTGTTTGGCTAGGGTGTCACGCTTGGGTGGAGACGGTAGAGCAACGATTAGCGCACGCTGTGCCATGCACTGGGCGACCTCAGTTCCGATTCCCGGCCCCGGATCGGAACCGGGCATTGGCCTTCTCCTCCCCCTTACTGACCCTATCCCTACTACCCGGCGTGGTGAAGTATGGTCAAACAATCCCCATGAACGAAACGGAGTGGAGAGGCCTTCGTCCAGCAGTGGATTTCCGCAGGCTGTACATTATTGTGTCACAGCGTGTGCCTGGGTATGTGCTATGTCAAGTTTAGCTGCAGGTTTTATACGTGACGGTGGACGTTGTGGTACGTGTTGTCAGTGAGCGTGCTGTTTGGATTTCGTGCTGTCAGAATGTCTTTGTCAGTGGAAGTAACCCTGTACCGCCGTTTAATATTAATGTGTTCATGTGCAATGTTATGGCGTGTGATTTTAACAATACATGCTATGTTAGGGTGTTGGTATGACCTATGTTGGTGTGCTGTTAAGGCAGGGTGCTATGTTATAGCCTGCCCGCTGTCAAACAGTCACCAATGTGTGCTCACATAGGTTACCACCTCCATTCACAGGGACTCACCGGGTGCCATCCACAGCAAAAAGTGACCCACCAGGAGTCACAAGGTAGCAACGCTAGCCCTAGCAGAAGCCATCCTCAGCTCAGGAAATCAACCCCAGCCGCAAGGAAACCACCGGGGGGAACGTTAAGCCACCCTCATCAGCCACAGCCACTCAAAAGTGAACCATGATGACCCACACGGGGTCACCTCCAGCCAGAGGGTTCCACCAGAAGCCACCCCAAGTCGCAGAATCCTACCAAAACACGCACCGGGACCCTCCTTAATCAACCTCAGCCAAGAGAACGACAATCGGCTAACCCGATCATCCAATCGTCACTGCCATTTACTCTTGTCACCCCATACCAAAAGGGACCTACAAAGTCCACCAGGGTCACCTCCAAACCCAGTGTCGTACCAGAAGCCAATCGAAAAGGCACGGGGAGCCTCCAGCAGTCAACCCCAGCCAAAGGAGTCCACTTATATTCTTAGAAGCCACCCCTGCCACGCGGACCTATCATGACGCACAAGGACCCACCGGGACCCTATCCCCCACCTCCGGCACCCACCTTTGAGAAGGGGCAGGGGGCTGAGCTCGACGGGGGCGCCCAGGGCACGGAAGAGCGACGAGCGGCGCTGGTTGAGCCTCCCGGCGGCGCGCCGCACCGAGCGCTTACTGAACCCGTCCGCCTTCTCCAGCCCCACGGCACTCGCCACAGACATCGCTGCCCTCTCTGCCGCGGCAGCACCGGGAGAGGGGGTGGTGGCGGCGGCGGCGGTGGTGCGCCTTTAATCCTCGCGAGTTGTGCGCGTTTAATAAAGATGTAAATGCCGTGAAATAAAAGTCCAAGTGGGGAGAGTTAAATCTCTCCCACCGCCGCCACCCCCACGCGGGGCCTCCCCCCCTCCTCCTCACGGCGCCGTCATCGCCTCCTCCATCACCTTCACGGCGCCTGCGACCGCGGCAAAACGAAATGGTTGAACAGAGTGAACGTTTACTGTGCGAAGCAATGTGCTTTACTCGCATTCGTGCGCGAGTTACTTATTTTTTTTGTTTTAATTCTGTTCTGCTTTCGGAAAGTTGGCCGCGCTCCAGGCGCCGCGCCGCTCGTTATGAAGCGACTGCCGGGGCGACGGCCCTTATATACGTCACGTGATGCCCGGTGAGCGCGCTCATTGGACGGCGACGCGCGTTATTAGATTTCATAGAACGCACCGTCCGCGACGGCGCGGTCCCATTGGCCAGCGAGCGCGCACGTGACCCCCGGGGACGGGCAACCGCCTATTCTAAGTGAGAAATGTGACAATGACGGCCGCGTGACGTCAACAAAGCCGGGGGGGGAGGTGGGAGGCCGCGGTATGTTCGTGACGTCACTCGTGTGGGGGGCGGGGGCTGGCAAGAGCTTGCGGCCATGTTGGGTAGGTGAGGATTCCTCTCCCCCCCCCCCGTTCATTGATGCGGAGGCACGGGGGCCGTGCAGTGACGTCACGCCAGCCTCTGCGAGTCGCTGCGTACCCCAAGAGTGCTGCTGTCCCCCTCCCTACCAAACATGGCCGCCCTAAAAGGGGACAAACATTCGCGGGGGTGGGAAAATCTCAATGTTCCCGAGTGTCACCTTCCGCGACTGTCACGGGGCGTGTACGCGGGGGCCCCCACCCCGGGGCCCACCCCTACCCCATCCCTACCCCCACCCCTACCCCATCCCTACCCCCACCCCTCTATCCTCTCAACGCCAGCCATGTGCGGCCCATCACAAAGTTTCTGCGTGGTTCAACACCGAGAATCACGTCGCGTACACCAACGAACAATCCGCTGCTCGTCGGTGAGGGAGCGGGATGGTGCGCGGGTTGTTTGGTCAGACTTCACGCTGGAGGCTGGGGAGCGCAGACGTTGGCTGAAGTGCAGTACAACAGCGGGTTTTGCGGCTGCGCTGCCTCATTCAGTTGGCAGCACGCGCGCGCAAAGCCACGCAAACGACCACGAACCAACACCCGGTGGGGGTCTGCTTTGCACCGTGGTCGCCCTTTTCAAGCGCTACCCCAGGCCCAAAGCCTGCCGAGCCTCCCAAGATTAAAATGCGACAGGTCACGAAAACTCGGAGTCGTCCCGGGTTCTCGTTTTGCTTTGTCTGCCGAGTGCATTTTTTTTTAGTCAAAAAGTAGCGGAACGAGCACCAATGTTTCTAGCTCGATTCGCTCACACGGCCCCGGGCCCATCTCGTGAGGGTTTGAAGAGGGCCCCTTACCGCATCCCTCCTCACTAGGGTCCACCAAAAAACGCTGGGCCTCTCCAAACACCAGGGCTCCCCACTTCAAACCTCCGCACGCTAAGGTCCTCCCATTGTAAACCTCCAAACAGAAGGGCCCTCCCATCTTGCAGTATCCCTCTGAAGAGACGACAGAGTACAACTCCCCAGTGACGTGCTATCCAATGTGCCAGGGCCCACGGGTCAGAGGTAAGAATTTTCGACCGGTCCTGGTTGTCCAGTAGCTGTTTTGGGAATTTAAAGTCTTTCGGAGACATTAAAAGTCCCTATATATTGTTTTACCAGCCGTGTAACTCAATACCATGCATTTATAATAAAGGTGTTCTCTCTTCCGGTTGTGAGATATTCCACCCAAGGCATGTCCCGGTTTGTTGCACCTAAAAGATTTGCCGGAGGGGCCTGGGCGCCCGTCTACAAAATGTAGGGGGGAAGAATGGGCAGAGAATCCCATGGAATTCCCCGTTGCACCAGGGCCAACCACGCAACGCTCACCACGGGCCACTGCCCAACGCAATGACGAACGAGTTTTGGGGTTGATGTGTTTTTTTTATTTCCGACATATAAAAAAATGCCCATCCAACGCCGACTTGCCTGAGCAAGCACAACTCGATTTTGTTGTGAAAACTGTACAGTAGCAGTCTAACCACGGTGACTCACACGCACGGAAGCTTACACTTTCAATTAGGATAATCCTAAATTAAGTCAGCATATGCTGAGACCATATGCATTTAAAAAAAAATAAAGTTTGTACTTTAAATCTTGGTTTTCAAACCCACTTCAAATTCGTAATCATGCCATGTGTTTACCAAGCAGAGCCTTAATGAGCCTCTAGTTTTTTCAGGGGGGTTCTAAATTATGTTTAGCCAATTTATTAACGAGTTTTGTGTGTGGAAAGAAACCGGAGAACCCGGAAAAAACCCACGTAAGATTTACAACTTTAATCTCCACTAATAGATTCAATGATCCAACTGCCATGTCCTGAACACAGCTCACACCCACAACACGGACGTTCCCAGGTAATCTCCCATCCAACCACTAACCAGGCTTAGCTTACACAAACAACCACCTATAAGATCCAGACAGGATACATAGTGCATTCATTCGTATATGAATAGAAAAGATTGGTGATGAACATGTACGCATCAGGGCAGAGACCCAGAGGCAAGTCTAGAAAGAAGAGGTGCGGAGTGGTGAGGCAGGATATGAAGGACTATGGAGTGGACGTAGAGACGATGCCCAGGACAAGCATAAGTGACGTGACGCGGGTTGGCAAACTCTACGAGGGCAGAAAAAGTCCAGAATAAGAACACAAAATATTGGTAACCGTAAGAAGGTGGACAAAGGGGGAGTCTTAAGGGCTGGAGTTGAGAAACACCGCACTAAAATATTTGATGCAAGCCTATGGCACAACCATTCACCAGCACACAGTGGAGGGGAGGGCATGGGGATCTTTTTCCTATGAAGTAGTGAGTCAGGATATGAAGGACTGTGAAGTGCAGTTGGGGCCCAGGACATGAATGAGTGAAGATCAGCGCGTTGCATCACTTTGACCGTCACTTCCGCTTGGTCTTGTATGGCGCCGTCGAGCGCACACGCCCCTTCCTGTGCACGGCCGATGGGAGCTTGGGGGTCACACCGGCGGCGCCAGCGCCGGCAAGGCCCGGCGGCCGCCACAGTACCAGCTGCCCGTCCTCTCCGCCCGTGACGAGTGATCCGCGGTCGTCTCCATCCCAGGCTAGGCACCGCACGGTAGCACGGTGACCCCCACGCAGGGAGCACACGGTTCGCAGAGGCGGCGAGCCACGGCGGAGGGAGTCGAACTCGGGTGTCAGGAGGTGGAGGTCGCCACCGTGAGTGCCCCCGGCGATGAAGAGGAGGTCAGCCCGCTCGTGGTAGAAGGCATCGACGACGTAATCCAACCGCACACCGCCGGTTACCTCCTGTATGGGAAGACGAGCAAAGTTTCTTTGAGTGCGTGTGTGCGGGCCGCAGTTCAGCGTCGCAAATCCGACCGTCAAATATGTGACCATCACACCAAATTGACCGCTCATACGAAGTGCAATATTGGTGCAAGAGGTAGATGCCTTTTTATACAGATGTCCGCATATCTGACCTTTTCACATATCCACCTATATCTCGGTCTCCAAAGAGTTGGATCTGCGATGAAGTACCGTAATTAATTATTCAAAACGCTTGATAAGTGCAATGCTGGATGAAGTGTCAGATATTGATAGAAAGGAATGCAAAAACAAATTTTAAATGTGCAATGCATGGGGGAGGCGGACGCTTAGAATGACATTGTGAGATGGAAAGAAAAGCACGAGGATCAGAGACATTGACTTAAAAAATGGACTTTGTCAGTACACATAATGGCTTTAAGGCATGATAGCCTATGGGCCATCTGACTGACAGAATGGCAGCCAACGGAGGAAGCGCGTCTGAGAGGATGTGCGCTACAGAGATTGTAACGATAAAATCAGCTCGTGTGCAGGTGGTTAGGTGGATTGCCACATCGTATGACCTTCAGAGGAAATGGTGACAGCTTTGGAGAGGTCTTCACCCAGCAGTAGATAGATGATGGGTGGTTATGACGAAGATAATGACGTGAGCACGAAGAGGCGAGGGGCGACGTACCGGTATCCGCACGTCGGGCACGTTGAGTACGGTGATCGGGCGATCGTCCGTCTCCGTGGTGACCTGCTCCAGGTCCCAGAGCAGCAGCCCCTCCGTGTGCGTGGCACAGAAAACCCAGTCGCCGGAGAGTCCCACGGCACCACCTCCGCTGTCGCCGGGGAGTCCCACTCCGCTGTCGTTGGGTAGTCCCGCTCGCGGCCCGGCGCCCCCCGCCACGCGCCCACACCAGCCGAGCGCCGCCACCGACGAGTGCGAGTTGCAGGTGGCCTGTGGGGTGGCGGTCGCGATTAGACCGGCGTGGTGGCAAGGGTTGCTGGTGGCGCTAGCAAAAATGAGTGCCAATTTCTGGGAGGCTCAACCAGGCGGGACACGTGATGAGCTGGCAGCCCCTGCCCCTCCCCCATTCTTTACATCCACTTTCCATTAGTCACGCCCACTCTACAACGAGCTCCCAGGCACGGGGGTTGAAATGGCTGCAAGAGTGGTAGTAACAGTGATGGTGGTGGCAGTAAGGCGACCACAATTCCCAGAGGCAAATCGAGCACGCACGGCCAGTGGCTTCCTCACTTCTACAGATGTTGGCCTAGTCTCTACTTGTAGATCCCGGGTACGTGATGTAAATTTGGGTTGGTGGAAAGGCAGTACCTGCCAATGCTTGGTGGACAAAATGAACAAATAGTTGTGATTTTATTTCCAGTTTTGTCATTTTAAGAGGAAAATAAGTTTCAGCCGACATGTGAATCATGCCACATCCTCTTTTGCAATGGAGACCTGGTGTGAAGAAAAAAATCAGAAACCAGCGCCAAACCAATAGCGCAAAACACCACATACAGCAAGAGAGTACACATGAAATACTTCAGAAGTGAACAATCTATAAAAGTTAAGTTTGAAATATTAATAATCATCAGCCATGGTCAATCCACTGCTGAAGGGTGAGCAGAATGATGAGCAGGAGGTTGAATGGGAGGGTGTGCAGGAGGGTGAGTGATGTAATTATGGACCAGAGGGTGGGTGAGTGGGAGGGTGACCAGAAGGGTGAGCGGGAGGGAGAATGGGAGGGTATCAAAGTGGGTGAGGGACGAAATGATGGACGGGAGGGTGTGTGAGTGGGAGGGTGGGTGAGTGGGAGGGTGAACGAGTGAGAAGGTGGACGAAAGGAACGATGGGTGGGAAGATGATCGAGTGGCGGGCGAGGCCGCTAAGCTCGGAGCTGAGTTCCCACCCGGGAGGAGGGTGGAGGGGGCGCGCGAGTGGGGGGCGTGCCTGCAGCGCATCCTCCTCACTGCCCTGTCGCAGGTCAAACACATTCACGAGGCCGTCCACCCCGCCGCTCGCCACGCGCTCCGCATCCGCCGGATGGAAGCAGACCTGGGGAAAGAGGGGGGGATGGTAAACAACAAACATCTTGGCGCCGTCGTGGGCACTGGCCACCAATATGGAGGCCTGAGACTTAACACTCGCCCCTTAAGGAAGCCGCGACCGACAATCGAAGTCGGGCAGACCCCACGTGAGTGGGAAAATACGCAGGGAAGAAAAAGATGAGAGGGGCACCTGGGTGATGTCGTCGCTGTGCGACTCCTCGTAGACCCCCACGGGTTGCACTTCCCCGGAGGGGCCCCGGCTGGACCCCCGGCCCCCCCTAGCGTCCCAGAACGTGAGGAAGGCGTCGTTGTCGCTGCGCTCGGTGCCAGCGCACACCAGGGAGCCCGGGGCGTTTACGTCAAAGCTCGCGAGCGCGCGGCCCCCGTTGCTATGGAACACGGCCACGGGATCGCTACCCAACCCTTCCTCTCCTCTTCCCCCGCAGAGCCGCACATCCCAGCAGCGCACGGCTCCGTCCTCGGACGCCGAGAAGAGCAGGTCGTGGCTGTGGCGCGGGAACCGGACGCCGACCACGGGGCCCCCGTGCCGTGTGAGGGCAGCGAGGGGCCGCAGCGTGCGGCGGTCGAAGAGGCGGACGCGGCGGTCGGAGGAGGCGGCGGCGAGGCGCTCGCCGGCCCAGTCCACGCCAAGCACGTAGGAGCTCGAGCCGCCGCCGCCTCCACCTCCTCCGCCACCGCCGTCATCTTGGCTGCCATTCTCCGTGACGTTCGGCGAGCTCCGCGAGAGACGCAGCTCCCGCATAGTTTGTAGGACCTCCTCCATGGCGGACGAGCGGCGAGAGCAGAAGCCTGGGACAGCAAAGAGTCAGATGGTGACAATTTGGGATGGAACGTTCAAAAGGATTGGAGACCGTAGTTGGTGGAGACCTGGGTAGGTTTGTGTTGGGCCACCGAAAGGTTTTGGAGGCCCGCGGTAACGTGCCAGATGAAGCCCCCCCCCCCCCTCTGATCGGAAACCTGGGGCACACGGTCTCCATCTGCCGCCGCCACCCCATATACCGCTCTCTGTCGCTCTGGACCATCGTAAGCAGAGCGGAACTTGATCGGACCCTGGAACTCCAGCAGAGGGTCTGTTCTCCAAGGCTGGAGGACGGATAGGGGTGGTGATAGTGCATGGGTGTAGATGAATAGTGTCCATCGAGGTTGAATTATGATCGAAGCATGGTGTCCGTGAACGTAGACAAGAAATATGAAGATGTCCATTGACATGGTTGATGGTAATTTAAGTGGTTGATCATGTCAACTGACGAGATGAGTGATGGTGATGATGTCTATTGAGAGAATGCCAATTGATGGTCTACTCAGAGACAATGCTCACTGATGTATATCGAGAGATAATGCCCGGTTGACGATTTCTATTGAGAGGCAATGACCGTTTATGTTTTTTGAGAGACAATGCCAATTGATGATATCTATTGAGGGACAATGCCAATTGATGAATGATGTCGATTGAGGTACAATGCCCACTGATTATGGTCTCCTGAGAGACAATGCCCGGTTGATCATTTCTATTGAGGCAATGCCCGTTGATGATGTATTTTGAGGGACAATGCCCAATGACGACGTCTATTGAGGGACAATGCCCACTGATGATTTCGATTGAGGAACAATGCCCACTGGTGATGTCTATTGATGGGCAATGCTCACTGTTGATGTCTCTTGAGCGACAATGCCCACTAATGTGGATTGTTGGTTGTTCCCGCGTGTTCCCACCTGCGTCCACGCCGTCTCCTCCTCTTCAATGAACTCGAGATTCCTTAAACGCTTCGCACCATTGCCCGTGCGCCCGATTAACGGCACACTTCCACCGCTCGTATAACTGTAGTGATACAAAACTATTTAATTCTAATTCTGAACTATCTAATCCCTTCTCTCTCTCTCTCTCCCTCTCTCTAATCTCTTCGCTAATCTCTCTCCTTGAACCGGCTCCTTCACCACGCGGAGCCCACGCGGCGCGGCGTCTCCACATCTCCCACAGCGGATAGGCGCGCCCGCCAATCAGCTCCTCGCTTAAGAGGACGAGGGTCACGGGCTGCCGACCAATCGGCGGCGCCGACACGCCAGACCTCGCCCATGCGTGGTGCGGATTTAAAACGGAAGCGCCCGCGCGTGAAGTGTCCGGGCGGAAACATTTGCGCCGGCGATATTTCGTTCCACGCTCTCCGCGGGATTTTTTTTTATGAATATTTAAGATTCGATTGATACATCGAATCACGAATCTGTTATTTTTTGCCTTTGAGGAAAGTGTTGCATTTACAGGATGGCGGTGTGAATACGTGTAATCTACAATGGTGTTAATAATACTTTGCGTTGGAAGTACTGGATTCGATGCACGGGAATCGAAACGTGGAATCGAGTTCGTTGTGTAATCAACGAATCGATTCCTCTGCCCGATTAACTTGGAAGCTCGAACTGCAAATTATCCGCAGCGCAGCGACCGTCAAAGGGCAGCGGTCGTAGCGACAGCGACAACAGCAGCAGCGATAAACAACAGCAGCAGCTTCAGCGGCAGCGATAAACAATAGCAGCTTTAGCGGCAGCAGCTTTAGCGGCAGCGAGCACCACACGAGGAGGAGGCGTGCGAGGCGTGAGTCCCAGGCTGACCTCCAGTCCTCGTGTCCCCCCCCCGTCCTCGTGACTCCTACCCGAGTCCCCGTGTCTCCCCCCGAGTCCCCGTGTCTCCCCCCAAGTCCCCGTGTCTCCCCCCCAGTCCCCGTGTCTCCCCCCGAGTCCACGTGTCTCCCCCCAAGTCCCCGTGTCTCTCCCGCCCCCCGTGTTTTCCCCCAAAGTCCCCGTGTCTTCCTCCCCGTGTTTTCCCCCCAAGTCCCCGTGTCTTCCTCCCCGTGTCTCCCCGAGTTACGCAGTCCCAGTGTCTTACCCCGCGTGTCTACCCCCTGTATAATTGAGTCCCAATGTCACTTCAGCCTGTGTCCTCGTGTCTCAGTGTGGCAATTACAATGTTTAATACACTGCTGGATGAGGGCCTCCCCACGCTTTTTTATGTTATTTAATCATACTTCATGCCCGTCAGTGCGACGGGGAGTGGGGGGGGCACAGCCCTCAAAGCATAGAAATACAGTACAACAGTGAACGTCGCTGCACTGCCCCCTGCCGAAGTGGTTTCCCCAACTTGCGCAATCCTCGGGACTAAAACCCCAACCACGGCTCCCCTCCGCTTGTGAGGATGCCACCCGTCCCGGTTTTCCCCTTGTAGAGGTGTCGTCGCTGTCCTGGGAATCAATCTGTAACTCTTCCCGGGTCGTTTAAGGCCAATGTTTCTGTCAGTTGCGTCATAATAATGGATTTTAGTGCTTAACACTGTTGCAGGAAAAATGTTGGCAATCAGGCACATCCACCTCGCCTTATCATGGCCTCGTGATAACGAGGTATCATATAGGATTGTAGGGGTACCGTTTGTGGTATGATACTGTGGGTCTAAACCGTAGTCATGGAGTCAACATTGGGGGGGACCAAATCTTCCAGGGTGTCTGGGGGTCCCAACCCAGAAAAAATATCTAAATTTGAAAACGAATTTCCTGCCTAATATATTTAAAAATTCACTAACACATGGGATGAACTTTTTTTTTACAATAATGTCGAAGTGTATTGTATTACATTGCTGTTTTTACTTTTTTTACCATTTCTTGTTCCATTGTATGTAATGGCAGACATTAGGGATGAATAAAGTACAACCATAACCGCAATCATATAAACAGAAATTGATGCATTAATTTATATGAAGACAAGTCCAGATATTGTGGCCAAGGTTTAGCAATTTTTTATTTACATAGCATGGCAATTATTTATTTTATAGCAATATATGGGGGGGGGGGGGGGGCATTTTGAGCATATTTGAATATTGGGGGGTATGTGTCCTCCCTCCCCAATATATATTATAATTACGGCCTTGCTGTGGGTTAATTATGGATATGCGTACCTTGTACTCGAGTGGCAAGTGCCTTACGCCGATATTCACTCCGTACTCCAAGCCAGTCCACCAGCAGCTTTCAGGAAAAATGTCAAAATATACCTCAAGGTATATTACATTCACACGTGGTTTTTCTCCCCTGCTCCAGCATCCTCAGATTTTCCTCTCCGTGTTGTTTTATTTGTATCTTCCAAGAGGTGGCAACACCCCCCAGCTACTCCCACGTGGCCGTCAGCATGAGCGAGCCGGACGCCGTGTCTGCGGAGACGGGGAGGGCGGCTCCCCGGCGCTCCGTCGACTCCCCCATGCGACGCATGGTGAAGAATTGCTTCGCGTGCCGAATCGTGTCGGGCACGGGGCTCATCGCGGCCGGGGCCTACGTCTACATGTTCGGGCGCCGCGCCATCAAGAGCAGCCCCGTAGTCGGGTTCGGCTCCATCACCCAACTCGCCTTCGGCTGCGGTACGGAGGCCGGGGGGTTGGGGACACGGTGAGGTTTCAGGTGCCCCGATGGATGGATCTGCGGCATCGGAGGCCTGAAGGAATCTTGAAGACTTAAGGGGACTGGAATGACAATGGGCCTCGAGATATAGGGGACCCTAAAGATGATTGGATCTGGGGGAGCAGGGATGAAGGATACTCGTGGTTTCATGGGGCCTCAAAGATCAGAGGACATCAGGGAGATTAAAGAGCCCTGAAGAATTGTGCTACCTAAGTAAAGGCACAGCCCTGCAACTGCTTGCTTACGCCATTGCTGGCAAAAGGGACCCAACGAGCTGGGGTTGCCACCCGTCCAGGTTTTTTTTCCCCAAATTGTCCGCTTGAGGTCGCTGTCCTGGGAAACCTGCAAGTATTAACAATACACCACGCAAGACAATGCATTGACGTCTCGATCCGCGATAAGCCGTCAGCCGGTTCACAACAATTCGCAGTTCGATTCCCGCTGCTTGGCGTGTAAATTTCAGCAGATAATTACCAAAGCACGGTGCATTGACCAGTTTGGTGACGTATGGTCAAACAACTCCATGACTGACAGTGTGGGAAGGCCGTCATCCATACTAATGCATTTGAGCCGACTCGAGTTGGCTGTCCATGAAATATGGGTGTCATGGGAGTCTTGTTAGTTACCGCAGCGTTGGTGGTGTGCAGTTATCAAGACGGCACTGTCGGTGTTTTGCACACGCAGGTCTCTTCGCCATGGGGGTGGTGATTCTCGTGGACCCTGTGGACAAGATGATCATCACAGAGAGGCCCAAGAGCAATTGACGCAACCTCCTTGCGCGAAACAACTTGCACCTGCCCAGCGTCCTTGCTGCACGGGATGGTGACTCAGCATTTCTGCCAGACAGTGGCATCCCAAGTTGCTGGGAAAGCAGTGACGTTAAGTGAACTGTAAAATAAACTGTCGGTGCAAGTCACATGTAGGCAGGTGAGGAATGTCCGCCTGGTGGATTGCTGCTTATGCTTGATTTCCTGTTGGCTCAGCCCGAGACGCAGCGATACACCAGACTTGTGGCCTTTCTCCAACTTGTGAATTATATCCCCATGTGTTCTCGTTACGTGATGGGGTGCTTAACGACTGTTTGTGGTCAGTGGTTTCATGCGAGGCTGAATATTTTCTCTGCTATCGAATCTGGTGGCTCCCATCACTGCTGTCACCAATGCTGCCATCCTTTATTTTCTGCCGACTCCTTGTCCCTGTTCTGGTCTAGAGTCGAGCCCAATCTCTTTTTCTTTGCCTGTGGCTGTTGAGTATGTAAAATAAATAAGTGCCGTTTTCCACGGATGCCGATGTCCACCTGCCTTGTACCTCATCTTGAGATGCAGTTGATGTTGACGCTGTATAAATCTTAAGTTGTATTACTGCCATCACAATCACTGCGACTACGGGCGTAACACCATTTTATTTCTGGGAGCGTGACTTGCGTAGGCCAACGACGCTACATAGAGCCGTGTAAATGCAGCCAAACATAAACATCAGCAGGCTCCACTGTTCCTCTTGAGGACGTTCACTGCCGAGCGTGAACCATGGCACCGGTTTCATGATTTCGAGTTCATCTAACACTGGCGATGATCGATGACAACAAGCCAGCTGCGTTAAGGAATTTTAATTTCACATCGGGGAGGAACGATAAAAGAGCATTAAAGACGCGATAAAAAAATAAACAATATAAACGTTTAAAAAATCTTTATGATTTACAATTCAAGAGCAGTCCAGTCAGCGGTAAATCACAGGGCAGCGCTTGCCTGGAGAGTAATTATTACTGCATTGGAGATACCCTTCAAGAAGGGGACAATCGCACTGACCCAGGCACGCTTTCAAGAATCCTCGCGGTATAAGTGGTGCAACATATATTATATATATGTACACAAATATAAACAATGTTAGTACGCCCATATAATCATCACACCTCATGCCTAGAGCCCACACAACCGCATTTACTCTCGTAAAGTGATTCTGTTCTCAAAGCCACTGCTGCCTGACCTTGAGAGTATCAAGCTAGAGGTTTTGTACACACGGGTAGAGGAGCGGTCGCAACATCAGTTCCCCCAACATTTTAAACGTTAAGACTCGACGAGGCATGCGATTGTTACATTTAAAGACCCCGCTCAAATGCCGGTCTCTCCGGACCTTCCATTCTACGTTTGCCGGTCAAATGTAAATCGTGGCAAATGACACCATTGCACTTGGGAGCTGATAAATGTGAGATGAGACGGAACATTTGTGCACACCGATTACTCTAGTTACAAACTCGTGCCTCCTACCCAACCGCAGGCATTGCCGGCCACATGCCCTGTGCGTAGGGGGCGGCAGAGAGTCTAGCACCGCCCTCGTGTCTATTATAATAATTATTAACCGTGCTGACGTGTGCGCAGAAAAAAACCTGACGTCCAGCGGGAGATCAGAACGCTGCCGCCACTTTTTTGGCACCACGTGGGCATGAAGACCAGTGGCAGTGGGGCAGTAAAGGAACCGCAGCACGGAATCGCAGAACAGCGCCATCGCATCGCTGGCATATGTCAGGGAGGGCAACCCCGACTGCCGGAGCACGGGTGGAATCGGACTCGAGGCACCTTCAAGTTTCATCTCGTGTAAATTTTCGACACTCATCAAACACCCGGCACGTTTTACGGAAACATAATCTAAAAACTAGAAAAATAACGCACCCTCCACCCAGAGTTCTCCCCACGACTCCGGGAGGAGAATTTTTTCTTCTATGTTCCAGTCGATTCCGGAGTAGGTGCCGAGGTCGGCGATCCGAGGGCAGGAATCAGGAGAGGCCGACGAGTGAGAAGGCGCACGGCACGAGGCAGGCGGCGCTGAAGCCGACGGCGCCGTACGTGATGAAGCGGTAGGGCAGCTCGACCTGCGCGTGGCGCCGTGCCACACTGACATCATCGCCCGGGATGCTAAACAGCCTGGGATCGATTACACATGCGAATAAATACACGCACAGACAGACATAGACGCGAGATATACACAAAGATCCCCTGTTTTGCTTTAACAGACTTGGAGCAAATGCTGTTAGTGAGTAGCACCTATAAACTAACAGACATCAACCATGCACATCTATCTACATCGACTGTTGCGAGGCAAAGGCTATTAGCGAACACCCATTGCTCCCAACACACTCACACATGTAAGTAAAAACCACACACATGGGCGCACAGACGGCAGCAGGATAAAGGATGGCAGCCTCACCAGCATGCGAGCGGGATGCTCGTGGACTTGAGAGCAGCCTTGGTTGCGAGCAGGATGGCGGAACCGAGCAGCACACGAGCGATCGTGCGCACCAGGGCGCCGGGCAGCTGAGGCAGGCCGGGCAGCACGGGCAGGGGCAGCCGCTCCGGGGGAGCCTGCGTGGTGGCCAGCAGCCCTAGGAGGCGGTTGGCACGCGAGCCGCTCGCCACGCCGGCGCCAACAGCGAGGATCTGAGCAGTGTCGCCGCGTGACGTGCTCCAGCCATCCAGCGTGAACGCCGCCAGGGCAGCCGCCACGTGCGCCAGCGCCACCGCCGCACCGCCAGTCACGCCGCACAGCCACCATGCCAGCCCTCCCACTGCACACGGAGACGGTAGCAGCACCGTTAAAACCATCATCATGGCGCTGTCTTTCATCGCCATAAGAGCATCAGTTACTCATGGACGTGTGTCCTTTGAACCCAAAACTTAAGATAAATTACACACGAATTATTCTGTCTGGAGTGTACATGTGCAGCCCTGTATATCCACTACTGGATGAAGGCCTCCTACACACTGTCTTCATGAGGATTGGGTGTGAGTTGTAATTGTATTAAAATTGCCCCAGTGCATCATGGCCTTTAGAGGGGGGTGAGAGGAACAGAGGGGGATACGAGTATTGGGGGCAGGACAGCACCTGTGGCCTGGTTTTGCCGAGGAGGTCCTCTGCGGGGCCACCCCAGTGCAGCAACGAGGCTGTCGAGGGTCTCCAGCGAGGGCAGCAGCACGGAGAGGATGGCCACGCTACAAAGCACGCCCACCACCACGTCCTGGGGGCAGGCGACAGGGGGCAGCACCGGAGGGTCAGACTCGGGCTCAGAGCAAGCGTCTCGCGACGAGATGGTTGCGGGGGTACGCCCCCCCCACCCCGTGGGGATCGGTGGGGAGGGAACCTCACCAGGATGGAGTGCATGCCCATGTAGAGGCGGCTGAGGCAGACGAGCAGGCACCAGCAACAGGCGAGAGCCAGGCCCAGGACAACTGGGTACTGTGGGTAGAGGGGCGTGGCGGGTGGCGGCACATGTACACATGCACACATATCGTGGTCAGTGAAGATTACGGCTACGATTTTTTTATGTGGTTAATTTTTAGCAGATTCATGGCCAAGGTGTGGGGCATTATACAACTCGTAATTGACGTGAAGGTGATGGAATAAGGTGAGACAGACCCTTGTAATTCACATCTCATGAAAACAAGAGGGTATTGGTGGCAGCAGCACATCCATGTTTAAAGTTTTAATATTAAACCACGGTCACAAATACAACCCGAGTGATGTGTGCCACAGGATTCGAAGACAGTTCACCGACTCCTATGCCATCGCTCCCCAGTAAATACACGCTCTCTCACAAACGTACACGTGAGCGTCTATTATGGTACCCGTAAAAACTGAAGTTGCCCTTTGCCTGGCTGTGCCGAGGACCCTTCACCCACCACCCAACCACTCTCGCTTACTAATACCGCACTTGGCCCTGAGCTTAGCACCACAACAGGGCCCCTAAGCATCATAAACAAGGAGTTGTTACTGCAATCCACATCGCTTATGCAGAGATTATCATGGTTCTGTTAAAACAGCAGGTTTAAAATGTTTCGGAAGATTGGGCTGTGTTTTGCAAGACATAAATTTGTTACGCTGCAACAATGGTCTATCATCATGATCAAGCCAATCCGCTGCTGGATGAAGGCCTGCCCCAAGCCGTCACCATCTCTCACGGTCTGGCACCTGCCCAGGAGTGGATTTCATCGCCTCCATCTCCATGGTGGACTTCCCCACGGACCCATTTTCCTCCTTTGGCTGCAAAACCATCATTAATTGCGCCCAGGCGACCACCGTCCCTCCTCGTCATGCATGTCCTGCCCACACCTACCTACTTTTCTCAACACTCAACACTGTGACGGTCCATCACCTGCTCATAAATGAAGGTTGTCTTATTTTCTGTCAAGCAGAACTGGTCAAACAACCCTGGCCAGGCCCTCCAGTAAACGGCGTAAAATCCTCTGAGGCTCTGCCCAGTATTGAAAGGACTACATTATTAGTAGTAGTACTGTAGAAAGGGCAATCATAAAGGCTGAGGCAAAGATGGTTCTCAGTTTCCCAGCTGTTTGGTCCTCTGCTTTCCGGAATAACCACCTCTGGTGACGCAGCAAACGTGGCTTCGAATTGGCTTCTCGCTGCACTTTTATCAGCCCATTGTTACGGAGGCGTGTGGCGGGAGGGAGGGCGCTGCCAGGGAGAGCCGCCAGGGACTGGACGACCACCGGGGCTGCGTGCAACCCACAGCCACTGCGTTTATTTACCACCCCCAGAGATCCCCCGTGTAGCGTACAGTGCCGTTTCGCGAGCACCTCTTAAGATCAACACCTAAGGTCGACACACCTACACATACATACCCAGTTATATATACATACAACAGCTGCCGTCGCCACTAAGTGACATGACCACAGCGCTTGCGCCAGGATAGGTACACATCCATATATATCCAAAATGCACACACATACATGCTCGGAACATATACACACGCACAAGCATGCAACACGTAAAGATCCCTCGTGTAGCCTACATAATGTTGGTATGGCGCACAGAGGTGGTTTGGCCAACACCATTGCCTAGCCGCCTTTGTCTCCCCAGTGCTTACGTTTACACACCGTACCAGGTACTCATTTAAGGCCCAGTCAGCCTAGGGGAGGCCAAGCACCAGTTCAGATAATCATCGCTGATATACCTATGGCCGGTGATCAAATTCAAAGTCGCAGCGTTTGTAGAGCGTGCACCAACGACTGTGTTACCACTCCTTTGTGCTGAAACACCAGGATGCACATGTGACCCAGGAGAGAGTTTACCCGCAGAGCGTGTGGCAGTGAGCCCCCTACTTCCCGTGGTGAACCTTAGCCCGGTCACACAGCTCTGCAGCCTTAAAGCTTATCAGCACAACCACCACACACCACAAAGTGAACATCAAATTAAAAGTCCTTATGTGGGACTGGGAGGAGGGATGTGTGGTTCGGGGTGTAGAACCAACCACACACTAGCCCAGTGGTCTTCATTAATTTTCAGAGGAGGGGCCACTTTCGCCGACAAGACACCATCAGTGTGAGGGCAGCCACACATTTGAAACCATTGGGTTTGACAGCAGCACGATGCTGGAGTGTTTTCACATTTGTGTACTTGTCAGGTGCTGCACGTCAGGGGCCACGCACTAAAGGCCACCAGGTGCCGCAAGTGACCCCACGGGCCTTGCAATGAATAACACTGTACTAGCCCGACCAAGTAATCAATTAGCATAACTAGTACAAGCCCTCCGACTGACCTAACACTAACCAACTAGCCACGAGTACGAGAACGCCATTATTGCAGAATCTGTCATTGGCTGCAAAAAAATACTTTAAGGAATACCCTCCCTTAGTTTACAATATAAATCGCTGTGAATCCTAATGGAAAATTTCACACTGGCCACTAAAGACTGAAATCCTCAAGACCAGGGAATTTCTAAAGGGGCAACTAATCACCCAGAAAAGTCCTTAATGCAATATAACCCTTATTAATATTCCTTGGTTCTTTCGGTAAAGTCACGTTAATAGAAAATAAAAATAATAAAATTTTATTTAAATAAAAACCCACGACGTTTCTTTGTCATAAGAGTTGTTGTTTTTTTTCCAAGAGAGGCCTGCACACATTGGGTTGTTTGACCAATTCCTTTATCGGGAGATTGGCTCCACGTGGGAGACAAACGGAGAACCCCAGAGAAAACTTACCCACGAGTATATACGAGGTGACAGCACTGCCATCTGGCCACACCTCGCAGACCTGTACCTATAACAACTGGCAAGCCCTGGTGGTTGTCCAACCCATCTAAAACTGACCAGGCTCAAACCCGTTAGCTTATGCGACCCGCCAAAACAGGCGCAGTCTAGAGCCATTTTGTCACAGGAAATCATTAATCACGGCCCAAATTAGGCAGAACAGCAACATTACACTTCGCTGTTGCAACATTCACTTCCAGATAAGTAGCTTCACTCCAATTTGCTTTTCTATCTGAAAGTAAACTTCCCCATCCACAAGCCTCAGGGCAGATAAAACCTCAGGCCAGCAAAATAGCAGCTGGACGTTGAAAGCGGACGTGGCGTCGCACCACAGTGGGGAGTCAGTGGTCACGACTCTTAGTTAATAACTAAGCATGCTCCCATGTGCTGAGGGTTTTACTGCTGTTGTTCGGAATTTGATGTTCAACATTTCTCTCCGCGTGCTGGCAGCTTCTCCAGCACAACTGCAAAACCCGACGCGGTACTTAGCAATAACCTTTGCCAAGCCACTGAATGGATGAAGGCCTCCCCATGCCATGTCTCGTTCCTGGGGTTGATTGCTTCACCGTACTTTACCATGCTCCTGCACTAAATCGTGTTCATGAAACTCTAAATCCATGGCCAGGTGATGAGTCACTGGTAGAAATTATACCCATATAGGACAATCAGCGATAATTAATAATCAGCCTGCTTACCACAAATAGGATAAAAAATTAGTACAAGGCAAAATATTAAAGAATGAATAACAATCTGTCCCAAGCAAGCATCGATCTCCACGTGTAATGAATAACGAATCTGTTAAGTGTGGCAGAAGCCAAACGACAGCAGGGTGAGGAATGTGCGAGGCACTTGTTACTCCACTATTGGCCTGTTCTGTGCGGATAAAATTAGCACATAACCCCTGTCACCCCGAGAGCCCCAATCTCAGTTATTCTGTCGACCGGAAGGAATTTAAAGAGATAGAGCCCACATCCCATGGTGTTGAGAAATGTAAATATTTTGACGTGCAGTCATTTTTACATATAAAATATAGGAAACCAAGACTATGGCTCCCCAATCAACCATAATTGATCCATTGCTGAATGAAGTCCTCCTCAATCCCATCCCTCATGGTCCTGCGATTCCATAATTTATGTCACTCCTGCAAATGAGCTGATCTCATCACTCCAGCTCCACGGTGGTCTCTCCTTTGGCTGCCATTCATTCAATATTCTCTTCCATCATTAATTATCCTTTCAGCGACTACGCCCGAACTCGAACCCCGCTCACCCTCATAACGTCGACAACGTCTCAAATTTGTGTTTGTTTTATAATCCATGTTGCTCCTCCTCTCATCTCTCAGAGGGATTTCCCAGCATTCTTTGCGCAACTTTCGGATTTAGTTCCGTTTTCTTTATCACTGTCATTGTTTTCCGAATTGTACTTAATTGAAAAGCCATCACAAGTTAATGCACTTTTAATGGCCACATGGTGAACCTGGTGCCACGAAATACTTGCCAACTGAGTCAGCACACAAACAGGCGAGGTCTCATAAGGCCCCCACAGACGATTAGGTACCAATGTAATTATGTTGAACTTCTTTAGCACCGTACATAGCCAACTGCGCTAATGAGAGGTGTCGCGGAAGGACAACAAACTAAACACAAGATGTGGTCAGTACGTTCTGAGAACGGCACCAAGCCGGCTCTCAACACATGGGCTGACCATACACACACAACCTACCCCAAGTGATGTAGCGTCATCATTAAGTAGATTTGTGTTCGGAGGGGCCCAATTTAAAACACAATGAGGGTATGTGTGCTTTTGAGAGAAAAAACTGTTCTCAACTCAAGCTGCCCACAATCTTCAAGTAATAATCGTGTACAGCGTGTGTTTAATTGAATTAAGCTATGCATACAAGACACACGAATCAATAATAGCATTTGAGTTGTAAAATGAGAATTGAGATAAGATTGCCAAGGATCGCAAAGGGCAGCGCTCAGCCATCACAAGCCTCCAGCAATCTCACTTGTGTTAGATCTGGGTGTGTGCAAGTGTGGATGTCAATATGTACCTGTGTGTGTGATTCAGCATGTAATCGTGCGAGTCAATGTGTATCTGTGTGAATGTTTGTGTGCAGATGTATATCTGTGTGTGTTTGTCTATATCAGCTACCTTGGCCTATCGCCCCATACAAAGCTCCTCGTCTCCTCCACAGTTACGCCCTCCCTTGTCCATGCTTGCGAAACGTGGAGCCCTCTATGTGAACATCTGCACCGGTTTGAAAAACTCAGGCTGGCCGGCCTATGATCCATCCTGGGGTTAACCAGGCTGGATTGTGTGAGCTCACAAATCCTTGACACAATCCCATCGGTGAGCTCCTCCGGAAAGCAAGTTTGCGTTGGCTGAGTCATGTAGCCTGCATGCCCAGCCACCGCATGCCCAAGCAGCTTCTGTTTGGATGGATAGAGGTGGTTAAACGGGTGTGGCACGACTTAGAGAAGATATGGGCTGATGTGGTACAGGAAGGATGTGGACCTATGTGGACTTGCCAAAGACTGGTGCCAGCAGTGTCAAGATTGGTCTCTATGGAGGAGGCTCGTGAAGGACGCTATGGGCAGTTGGAGAAAGTTGCCCACCAATAAGAGTGGAGGGCAGAGGGAGTGATGCTCATAACAATGAGCGGAGTGCCAGGCGGTTAAAATTCAGCAAACTTGCAGTGGGGACCTGCTGCCAGCATGCCTTCGACACATCACGTAGCCTCAAACTGCACCTAGCCTGGCACAAGCACCGTGGTGACGTCACTACCAGTTAGTGGTGAACGGCGGCTGTTGTTGTTGTGCGTGTTTATGTGTCAGTGCTTGTTTCTATGCATCAGTGTATATCTGTTTATCAATGCAGTGCATATCTGCATGTATGCAGTGTGTATCTATTCGAGTGTGGTTTATTATAAATTCTGCGCGTGGTAATTTCAGCGCCCAAGTCACGGGTGTCATGTGACTCGCGCTGACCCTGCGTTGCACCGCTCTCTGCCACAGCTTCCCTCGTCTCTTCCTTCCCACAGAAATAAAATGTTTTCCACGTCTTGTTCCTGTTATGAAATCCCAGCAATGATTCATAGGTAACAAGGTTATCGTTGAACTCGAGTTATTTTTGAGCAAAATAAACGACTCGCTTCCAAAAAAAACCAAGATATTTTGCCGTCTTATTTATGAAAAAATGTTTCTCAACCCATATTCAATGGAGGTCTTTCATGGGGGTTGTTTGGTTATGGAGGTTGCTTGACCATACTTCACCAAACTGGTCAGTGCGGGTTGGTGAAGTGAGGCGAGTCGAAGACTGGCTCAGATAGCGCTCGCCACGGGGTGTTAGCATGGGCTGAGAATCTAACTGAAACCACTGTGTTCATGAATTGGTTGAAGGTGGTATCTAATTTTTTTTTACATTTTCACAGGAGCAACACCCATTTGAGCAATAAAAAGCTACATTAAAATCCAGAATCCGTTCTCCACGAAATAGAAAATAAAAGCAGCCTGACACTGTCAAGCGTCTTGGGCTGCCTGTCCTTGTAAAATAGCCGTTTGGCTCAATGGGATTACCAGTTGAAATGATAAAGTCTGAGGGTCACTCGTGACAGTGACTTGAAATGCAGCTGTATTCAGGGTTGATTTTCTTACTGAAAATTTCCCGGGACAGTGGGAGATGGGAGAAGGTCAGGCAGCATGTAGCAAGTCACTACAGCCATTAGCGAGGGGTATATACTGGATGTTGTGTGCCAGGTGCGGAAATCTTTTATGGGCTGCTCGTATACTGGAGTAGGTAGCACGAGGCTCGTAGCTATAGTTCATAGCGACAGATATACTGGACGCGGTATCATGCAGACAGACCCAGATGTAGCGGTGAGATTGACTGACACCAATGGTCACAAAGGGAATCCGACGCGGTCAACGTGATGAGCGCACTTAAGTTTTCATGACAGACGACCCCACGGAGTGACACATCCGACCTTTGAACCGCACGTGGCCACTGGCGGAGCCAGTGGGGGGTGGGGTGGCACGTGCCCCCCCAATGATCCGATCGAAATCCCTCATTTCGATCAGATCATTAGGGTTTATTAGTAATAAATCGGCATTTTGCGACCCCCACTGCCACTGTGTAGCATATTATTACGTGCCAGGGACTCTATGAGATGGTAGGACAATAGTCTGAGTCCATAATTGGCAATAATTAACGGCAAAGCAGTTATATGCGACTCAAAATTGTGCGCAGTTGCGTAGACAATACACGACTTTCCTGAAGGCATTCACCTTCAGCGAGCGCGATGCCAATCACACACACATTCGAATTCGACCCTCGATCGATGGCTGCACCATCGCCCCACACGCGTCGAATAAAAAGCAAGGGACAAGTCCTTACTAACAACTCCTCTATCATTTTTCATTGCTGGAGGGGTTGCCCCCCTCCCCACCCGAAAATCCTGGCTCCGCCATTGCACGTGGCCGAATGTAACGGAAAGGTCGAATTCACATGGTGCGAGGGCAAGGTTTGCTATCAGCCCTTAATGTTACACGAAATATTCTCTGGGGCACTGATAGACTGGAGTAGGCATGTGACTAATAGTCACAGCCATAGCTAGACGTATAATGGATTTGGTGAGCTGGCTGAAATTAAGCCCTGCCTGTAACGATAGTTGTATTCCAGTTTACCTTTGTGTTGGACTAGGTCTGCATTTGAGACAGGGTCTAAGCTTTTCAGTTTATTTATTTTGGTATAGCCCTGTGAGCCATTCGGCTCTTGAATCGGGTGCAACCACAACAAAAACACGAACAAGAAAACATCTTAAAGTGACTATGTGACTGTGCAAACAGAAAATCCATGAAAAGAAACAGCAACATATTCCTGAAAAAAGCACCATTCACCAACGCTGTGTGCAAAAAATCCCAGTAGGATGCAAGCTAAAGCCACAACTGTCACCTGGCTTAATTTAGCATATGAATGTCAAGGTTCAGCCCAACATCTGAGACAAAACTATAACCCTGGCCTGGTTTAGCAGAGTATGTTACCTTGGTCTGTGTTAGTGCTAGGTTTTGGGCTACAGCCACATAGTCGAGTTTAACCGAGTATCTATGTGCCCAAGGTAATGGGCTAAAGCTACAATACTGGCCTGGTTTAACCTATCATTTAAGTTGGGGCAGCATTTGGGCTAAGCAATAGGCTAAAGCCACCCCATGTCGAGGCTACTGTAGAAGAGAGGGAGTTGGAGTGAAACCAGACGAACGAGAAGGTGACTTGAGGCTGCTCGGTTGACTGAGCAAAGCGAAACCCGTGGCTGTTGAATTTTGCTTCACGCCCAGCCTCTTATGTCAACGCCGCAGCTGGTGGTGCGGCAGGCGGAGTAAGCAAACCAAGTGGCCTCTATGGCACAAAAGCGGAGCTGCAAACCAAACACAGAAGCTGCCCCTTGGGTCAACGTGGGGCCGCTCCATCGGACGAGACAATAAGGCAGCACACGGCGAGTAATAAACCCACACGGTACAGGTAAAGGTGCAGCCCTGCATTTGCTAGTTCACGCCACTGCTGATGGAAGGGCCTCCACTTGGGGGGGGGGATGTAAAAAACACCTCTCCGAGGATATTTTTGGCTAACTCTACCACACTGGCCAGATGTTCTCGCAAGAGGCGAAAGCCCCCCACACTTACCCCACCATACGTGCTCCGTCGATCATAGACTAAATATGGTGCATCCATTTACACCACCTGGTGGACCGGTTGCCAGGGAGATTTCAGAAATTTGCCCCCGTTGTTTTAACTGCCTCGCTGGGACCGTAGACCTCTGGATCACAAGTGCAGCGGATGGGCCACCACACCGCGGCAGCTACTTGCCAACCGCACGGAGAGAAGATTTAGACCGTGCAGGGGATCGGAAGGCTTAGACACGGAGATGTCAAATTTCAAACGCCGCCGCTTGACCCTGAAGATACGCGAGGTGATGTTTCTGTGCATGCGGGCGAGAAATTGGAAATATGTACACCGAAATACCCACGTATAAACATTACGCAATGTGTACACAGACACAAACAACCCATGTGATCTACGGAGTACATGCCGAAAGAGTAAATCGAGTAAAAAAAACCCATTCCTTTATAAATTCAAAACCGTTCACGTCAAAGCCCTTCAAGGCGTTGAAGACGCGATAGTGTTTAAAGTGCCTTCGTTTCTTCAATATAATTTTCAGAAAAGATGTTCTAAAATCTGACTGCGAATAACTCCGTTGCAAGCTGGGTCGCCTTGTTTTTACTCCCCTTCTGACCTGTCGCTTGGCCTGATGATGTCGGCGATGTGTAAAGTGCAGTCTCCAATTGCGAGTCGAAGTTAATTTCTGCTCTTACTCGGCCTGAAATAAGAAGCTCGGAGGCCCGGTTACCTTAGGCAACTGGCCACTCGTGGGAGAGACAACGGCGGTCGGGTGTGAGTGGTGCTGGCCACAATCATCCCACTCGTGTGTGTATCCCGTGTGGACCTACAGCTTCCCCGCCTCGACGCATCTATGCGTGTATGCATGCTGAACTTCTTTCGCACCGTGCGTAGCTAAACCGTGCTAATCGACAGGTGCGGGAGACTGACAAACGAAACACAAAACATCAACACGATTACACGGACGACGTTTATACCTGGCAACACATGCTCCAATCAAGGACAGGGCTTTTTGGTAGAAGGGGCTGTCGCATCCTCCCTCATCGATAACAGGAAAAATTTGAAAGCACGACGCGAGTTTAAAAAAAAGAAAAGCTGGCTCATCGTGTACAGCTGCCCATCAAGCTGGTGTGCCACTTGGCTGGGTACTTTCATTTGGTTCTAAAAACTCGTAGCACAACAGCACCTAAAACCGTACAAGGAGATCAATTTAAACATATCTCGAAGTCATGAAATCTGGTGGGTCTGACGCAACGTGATCCTCAAAACCTGAGGATTCTCAACCTCCGGAGATCATTAAAAGCTTGGAGGTCCGCGAAATCTCATGGCCATCAAACCGAGCGGTCCTCAAATGTGACGGTTCATGGACCTGGCCTCCAGCAGCACCCCCCGGACCGTGTCGCCTCCCTCACTCACCTCGAACCGACCCAGCGTGAGCGCGAAGATTGCGAAGGGCAGCGCCGTGCCGGACATGGCGTGCGTGGAGGGCATCCCGTACTCAGAGTCGTAGAACACCTCCACCTTGATGACGGGCGGCGAGGCGGGCCGGGGCCACCTCAGCAAGTCCTTGGCGCTCTGGCCCAGGAACATGACCCAGACCCACACCATGATGATCCGGCGCGCCACCAGCGCGTCCACGTTCCAGAAGAGGAATGGGAAGAAGGTGATGTAGAACGTCTCGTTGCCCAGCTCCGTGCCCAGGACGAACAGGTAGTGCAGGGCCCTCCTCCTCACCACGAACGCCTGGGTGTGCACCTCCTGCGAGAGGGAGTTCCTCCGGCGCGGGAGTTGCATGATGGAGGAGCGGCTGGGCTCTTGGTGGAGCTCATCCGTTACGGTGCCGCTGTGGGGTCCGTGACGGGGCGGCTGCGGGTCCCCGTGATCGGGAGCCGCTCCAGGGCGGCGGTGCCGCGCCTTGCGACTCGAGGCGATGTCGCTGTTCGAGGTCCCGTTCGTCATCGTTTTTGTCACCGTCACCTCGTTGTCGTAAACATCGTCGTCGTCACCTCCTGCGCCGAGCCCGTTACAGCACCGCTCAGTGGAACGCCGCCGCCGCCGCTGCTGCTGGTCGTGGTCGCGACCGTCACGGTGGTCGTGGTGATCGGAGCAGTCACGGCGGTGGTCGAGGTGGTCACCGCCGTTGTTGCTCCGCGTCTCCCCCTCCTCGCACGGGGCCGCCGCTGCCGCCGTCGCCGCCGCCGCCGCATCCTCCTCCAAGCCGCACAGCTTCTGGAACCTCGCAACCACGCAGGGGTCCTGGAGCCAGCGCCACGCCGCTCTCACCGCCATGCCTGCAGACGCGGCCTCCCGTGGTGCCGGCGCCGCGTGCAGAAGCCCCGGGCACGCAGGGAGCGGTGGGAGCGGTGGGGACGTCGGAGAGCCTTGGGGAGCGAGGAAAGGAAGGAAGGGGGGGGCACTCTAGGCAAGCCTAGGGAAGGTGAGGAGAGAGCATGGGGGGGCTAGGGGGACATAAGTTAACCCAATGGGACGAGGATACCGCTAGGAAGTGAGAGGAGGGAGGAGGGCCCTGGGGAACAAGGTGGGGGCATGGGGGCCCCAGGGCTCAGCGACCCCCGGCAGCTCCCGGGGTTTAGCTGGGGAGGAAGAAGACTGCCGCCTGCCGCTGGCGCCCAGAGTGAGGGTCGCCAGTGAGCCAGAGACGTGGAGGTAGCGTAGTAGCGAAGTTGTCAATGTGAGTGGGTCGCGGCGGGGTGAGGAGGGGGGCCCCGTGGCTCTCCACCCCTCCCCGAGCCCCACCCCTCCGAGCCCCACCCCCCCGAGCCCCACCCCTCTCCGAGCCCCACCCCTCTCCGAGCCCCACCCCCCTGCACGCCGTGACACCTTGGGCCACCATCTTACGTGAGGGATGTTCCCGGCGCACCCCCCCCCCCAACACGGCTATAAATCATTACGGTCGCAGTGGAGAACATAAAACTAAAACAACACGATCAGAAATGTTTCCGTTACGTTTCCGTCCCTCCGACGTGAAATATAAAAGTTGTTTTTATTTAAAGCTTTCGTGACTGCAGGGATTCATATTCTTGGTTCTTTCGGTAAAGTCACGTGACTTTACGTGACTTTACCGAAAACCAAGAATATAAACGTTTTTATTAATTTAATTGCACATACCATCGACCCCACTTGCTTCGGGGTAGTGAATAATTTCAGCAGCATTGACTGCCGACAAGGCATTGAATGTTGAAATCGACCCCGAGTTTAACTTGCCCTGGACTGAGTCCACGTTGCCGAGATGAAGCAATACCCAGAGAAGCCGATAGGATGCGTAAAAATATATATTTTATCTATTTTTATATCTAAACTGTATGTTTAATGTAATTTTCATCAGCCCCCACCAACAGTGTTAACAGGTGTAGTCTCCAAGTCGTAGTATCCACTCTCTCTGGCATCTCGATGTGTTATGAAGGACCATCGCCCGAAACGTCACCTATTATACAACGTATGTTATCCCCCCTTGTAAGGCCACGCGGTGTGTGGTTGAGGAACGCGTCAGGACAGCGCCTGATTGCGATGACGTCACGGTTCCGACCACGTGGTTGCGTAGACGTCACGGCACGTATCCCATAGCCGCGGTGACGTCACAGCACGCGCCCCGCGTTCCTAGCAAGGACGTCAACGACTCGTACCGCGTGACCCGGATTTCACCCCCACCCCACGAAAGATGGCGGCTCGGGCTTCAACGATTGTGGGCGGGGGGGACGGGCTCGGCTCCGCCTACGCCCTTTGCATTGGTCACCGCGAGCACCACGTGGGGGAGGGACGCTGTCCATTCGTGGCGATTGCACGCGCGCGCGTTCCGGCGAGGACCAATCAGAGGAGCGGCCCAAAACGCTCCGCCCCATGGTGCTAACGGTGTCGTCACCGTGATCCCACCCATCTAAATGTGGGTGACGTCACAGTGTGACTCGATGCAGTGTCTCGCTGGGAACGGGGAGTAATTATTAAAATTGGAGGAATCCGATGAGCTACAAAGTTCTTTTCACACAGATGTCCAACAGGCGCAGGTCAGAACGTAACAACTGAAAAACAATACGACACCGTAGGAGTGCAAAGTATCGGAGAGGTAAACAAATCGCTTAAAAATATCGACAAATACATTTCTTTTTTTACCAGGCAAAGGCTCACTGAGCTGTTAGATTTTTTTTCAGAAGAGACCTGGCCACAAATGATAGCTCAACGAAGTGGCTTATCACGTGGAAATTTTCGCAGTGAGCTCCGGCACGTACGTCTGAGCGAACACTGCCTGACCTTTAAACTCAGTGTGTAGTCGCCACGATTCATAATCCAAGTGCAAAACTTCGCTTTTCGGTTATTTTGGCAGCATTGTGTTCAGGATCAGTTGAATGGAGCGCAATTCACACTGGCTTTCTGTACAGTCCGTAGTTTGGGATGCATGACTACACAGGAACCAGCACTGTGGTCACACGGGTGTCCTCGAGGAGGAATGTCACAGCAAGGAGGTGCGATGTTTGTGTCTCCCTTGAGTCCACGAGCCCAGTGCCGATGTCTCGCTGTCGGAGTCACCTGAGCTGGCCTCACGTTACAGATTCCAAACCTGTCTTCCATGGCCAATCAGAGTGAATTATGTGAATCATTTGACATGAGCGGAGTGATCAAGTAATTCACTCTTATTGTTCACGTGTCCGACTAAAGTCTGGCTCCCAATTCGCGGTGTTGTCTCTGACCCATTGACATCTGGGCTTTAAATATTTTACATTTAGAAGAATGCAAAGGCGTAGCCATGCAATGTCTTGCCAATGTTTCTGCTGGTGGAAGGGATCCAATAGAAAGTGGCAATCGATTTTTTTTTGGGGGGGGGGCGATACATATAATGTATGAGATTCCCTAGCCAGTACTTCTCATACTTGCCCAGCTCACATGAAGGCTCACCTCACCAGCCACAAGTTAACGCTCATTCCATTATGCTTCAACAATAATCCATGAAGATGTAGTCGGCCATGATGCGGGCAGAAATCAACCAAATTTTAAATCGGGGTAAAATGGGTGACCTCAATGAAAAATAATGAGGCACAAAAGAAAAACTTCAAATTACAGTTTGCAGCCGGGACACGAAAATAATAGGACATCTTTCTCAAGAAGAAAATGGGCATGGAGCCCGACTGATCATAGAATTACATCCCCCTGCTAATAGGTATATAATTGATTCCAAGTAAAATGTTTCCTTTGCCAAGTTCAATCCACTGCTGGATGTAAGTTTGGCCAGTGTCAATGTTGTTGGCACGAACACGAATCTATCTCACTTGTTTGTGTTCATCTTCTTTGGTTCTTTCGGTAAAGTCACGTACAATGAGAATAAAAGAATAAATTGATAAAATAACACAATAATATTCTCACGACGTTTCGGCCACAACACAAGCGGCCTTCATCAGGTGAAGGGACGAGACTGATGAAGGCCGCTTGTGTTGTGGCCAAAACGTCGTGAGAATATTATTGTGTTATTTTATTTTATCAATTTATTATTTTATTCTCATTCTACGTGACTTTACCGAAAGAACCAAAGATGAATCCTTGCAGTTACGAAAGCTTTAAATCGAAATTGTTTGTGTTCGTTTATTTCTGTTACGTCCTTTAACAAAAATCACGGTTACAGAAATTCCAAAACCAAAAAACAAACAGCTCAACTGTCTGTCCCACACCAGCTGAAAATCTTGTAATGTGTGATTAACTCCTCCATGTCAACCTTGCACTAATTGCTTACCAGATACAAGTTAAACTGGATTATTTTTTCGCACAGTGGATACATCACAGAGTTCAGTAATTCAGCAACTCACTCCTCCAGTCGCTTCTCATTACAAACTTTAATTGCTCCATGATGGAGTTCACCATCGCCACCGGCTGCACACATTGTTCATGATGGCAGGGGTACGGGGACCGATCACGGTCATTTAAATAGGCGTTTTCCAACCGGTTGTGTTAATGCGGCAAGCGAATGAACATTTCGCACATTGTATGGCAGGGTTACATAAGACTAAACAAAACATTGGGCATGCTACCAATCTGCAATGATTGCAAGAAAAAAATATATTCCCAATTTGAATCCGGATGCTCCAGTTTGAGCTCTGGCAGAGCTGTTCGACTTTTCATGTGAGGCACCGACCTGCAGAAGCGGATATCGGAGCTACCCGATGCACTTTCCAACGCGCCCTGCCACCGACAGTAACGTTCATGTCACGACAGTCAAATTGATAGTTTTCCGAGCTGGAATTTAGTAAAAGTAAAATGCAGAACCGGATTTAATTATGGGCTTTTTGAATGTAATAATTTTTTACCGAGCAGCAACTCGGTACACTTGAGAAGCCGAATTAATCACCGCGGCATCACCAAGGTTGAAGGACACCGAAGTAAATGAGCCCGATGCACACGCGATGCTGAAGATGAATATATTCTGGAATGACCGAGTCAGCAGTGCTGCTCTCGTATCCCATTAACTTAGTCACGCCACGTTGAATGCGCATTCCAATTCACGTTTCATGTGAGCACCTCGCATCAGCGTAAACACTGTACTCCACGAGCTAAGTGTTTTTTTTAATATATAAAGAAACTTTCCATCAACGAGAAGGGAAAATAAAAACTCCTTGGGATAAAACTCGCATGCAGGGGATGTTTCACCGAGTGGCTCGAGCAGACACATGACTGTGTACCTCGCCATCGATCACGTAGCCCCAGCTTCCACCACCCCTCTCCATTACACTCGCTTATATTACCCTTCTGAGGTTGCCACCTGTCCCGGTTTTCCCAGGACATGCCTTTTTTGTTGGTCGCTGTCCTGGGAATATCTGAGGCTTCCCACATTGACATTAAATGTCCCAGTTTTTGTCACTCGCATAAAAAACACCCTTTTAGACGATGCATCTCCGTGTAGTTCTCCACTATTCTGGCACATGATATTCTTATTCCTGCGTGTGCTGGCTATTTTGTAATTCAGAGGTGCCAACCGTAGAGGTCCCTGCTCTCACTCACACACCCCGCTGCCCACGACGAACGCCGCCCTCTGCCCGAGCCATGGAAGACACGTGACACCTCTGTTGACTCTGGTGGAGGGAGAAGACGTTTTTATCGCCAATAATGAAAAAAGCGTCAGCTGAAAATAACCTAAAAATCTCAAAATTCACCACAAATTTCTTTTTTAAAGCCCCCAATTTTTTCAGCTAAAACTTGGGAGGAGTAGTGATCAGTGCAGCACGGATAAATTTCAATAGTCACACGGGCAGCCAGATTCACAAACCCATGCAATTATTTGATAGGGTTGTGTGTAGGGTGTGCATGTGTGGTGTTTAGTGGGGTGTATTGAGATATGTGCAGGTGTGTGTGTTAAACAAATTAACTTGATCTTGATTGAGGTCTGCCCCGAGACCTCCGACCGTTGAGCCATGGGACACAATTCACATGGCCTCAAAGTGCAACGAGCCAATAGCAAGCACTGTGGTCATGTCACCGTCACTGAGTGTCGAATGGCGGCGGTTGTTGTTGTTGTGGATGGGTACGCGTGTGGGATATACAGAGGTGAAGACAGCATGTGTAGACGGAATGTGTAGAGCCTGTGTGTGAATGTGAGTATATTAACGTTTGTGGGTGTGTGTGTTTGTGGGCCCTGTGTGGTATATGTGGGTGTCATGATGTGTGCGGGTTTGTGGGGACCGAATGGGGTTGTAACGTGGAGTACGGCTGGACAGGGTGCGTTAAGACTCGAGAGACAGAAAAGCAGTCCTCACTA